TAGCTTTTATAAAGAATATCTCTTTGGATTTGAGACTTTAGTCTTTGCAACTTTACAGATCTTCTTTATGCACCAAGAGCTTGTAACACTCCAAAGAGAAAGGAAAAATTTAAATCGCATCATATGACCCCTTTAACGTGTTTGTTTGCAGTCTGACTGGATTTGTGCCGCGCAGATTCATTATGGCAGCTCTGCGTGCAGCAAAACAAGCTTTGAGAAGAGAAATGAAGGGTCGAGTGGCTAGAGTGAGTAAACAGGTGAAACTAGACAGTCTCGAGTTGTCTCGCAAAAGGTAAATGTCACTGACATGTCAGCTGAGAGGAACGAGCTTTCACTGGCCTTGTAATATGGGACAGCAGTTAGATTATACTTGCATAAATATAATATCAGAGTAAAGAGGTTATGAGAATGATCCGGAAACTAACATTCTATTTACGTAAAGAAAACATTCCTGGCTAACCACCAGAGAATTGCAGATTTTGGGAACGTTCTGGGAACCAAAAATCGTTAGCTGGGTACGTAGTTCAGTAACCTAACAACCCGCATGAAAATGTTATTTTGTTGTCTCAAGGTACAGAGATAATTTTTTAACCACTTAAAACGCGGTGTTTATTACATCACAAAAATATGCCCAAATACATTAACATTTATTATTTATAATGGTTTAATATGTAATTATTTTAAATATGTTTTTTTTTTTTTTCATTTATTGACAAACCTGTATTTTTTCTAATTTCACATTCTCTACTCACACATTACTTTTTAAGATTTTGGACATAAAAAAGGCAGAATATTTTCTGCACAATATTTTGGAGTGTCTTTACATCCTGGGGCCTATACCATGATGGTAGATGAACAAATTCAGAGGTACAGAATTAGTTTCGAGTTGACAAAACCAAACCACTCCAATCCGGCTTTGTTGGTACCATGATGTTGATCATCAACTTTCTTTGTCAACTCAGACTTTGATCCTGAGTTTGTGGAGCAGGTGCACATAAATGTGTGACATCACTGGCGAACAGCCAATCACGAGCCTTAGTTAAAGGTTAAAGGTTTTGCTATAGGTTAAGAGATTGAAGAATATGATGAATTTAAATGCATTTACAATGAAAAAAGTACTTGTTCATGAAAGAGGACAAATAAAATAAATGATCTTGCTTTATCAGTGCAGTCACAAGTGAAACTTGTTAAATTAGTTTATATAGTTGGAAATATACAGCGATAGAGACTCAAACATAAGGTCACATGTAGTCATTTTTAAAGCACCATCTATTGATTCTACAACTTATTTATATTACATACGGTCTGTATATATTAACATTATATTATAATTATATTATAATATTAACATTAACATTATATTAACATTAAAATAAATAATTTATAATAACTGTTAAACTAAAATTGCTTGTGTGTAATGGATTAATAATAATATGAATCATATAATTATATAAATCATAAAATAACTCTAAGTAATTATCATTAAAGCCAGACAATTTTTTGTAGTACTAGTGACCTTTAATTTGAAGCAAGATAAACCGGGGGAGTGACTTTGTGTCAGACATGTGTCACTTTGCTCACATCTGATTGGTCCAATTTCAGTTTGAGATCTCTAACTCGGAACATAACCTGCCCCAGAGCAGGTTAGCCGTGGAGTGTAAGTTACTAAATCAATGAACGCAGCTAAAAGCCAAGCCACTTTCATGGAACCTAAAACCCAGGACTGGTGCAAACTAAACTGAAATTTACCTGGCTAGCCAGTTAATCCAGCTTCATGGTACAGGCCCCTGGTCTCTTCTTCTATTTTTGCATTTATTTAAGGAAAACTGTAAAAAAAAATGTATTAATCAAAAACAATATTAAAATAAACAAATAATAAAAATAGAAATTGATAAATGTATCAGTCAAGTACAGTATGTATGTACATGTAAGTCAACAGATACTTAATATGTTATTATAATACATTACATGCAATAGTTCAGTAGAGAGTAGAAAAAAATGTAATGTAACAATAGAAACAGGAAAAACGGTGTACAAATTTATTTAAATATAAATAAATTAACAATTAAAAATAAAAATATATTGAAATAAGTAAATGGATAAATATATGAATAAAAATTATATTTAAATAACTCAACAGATAAATAATATAATACATACAATAATATTATATTACCAGTACAGCAATGAGTAGGGAAAAAATTATGCTACAATACAAACTAAATATTTTCAATTTAAAAGAATAGTTACGCATTTTTAATATTATTTTTGAGAGTATAAACTGTCTTTATACAAGAAACTGTATAGATTGCTCTGAAATTTAAGGATGGGTATCCCCTGCACGATTATGATAATATGTATTAGTCTGTGGCAGTTTAAAAGATCGAAAGCTCTGCTTTAGAGATTATTAACCCTCATGTGTGAATGTTCATACTCTTAATCCCAAAACGGTTTTCAATTGCAGGTGTGTGGAAAGTGCTTTGGTTATATTTTTACTCCTAATCAGCTAAAAAATATCAGTATGCTTGTTTCATATTGAGGTGTTTTTGTTTATTACATTAATTATGTTAATACAGACACGTAATTACATATCCTAGATTAAGCAATATACGACTGCGTAATCGTAATTCTTGCAGTTCATGTTAATCATGTTACAAATAAGCTATGAACAATTGTAAATATAATTTGTGTTTATTAACAACTATCCAAACGTATGCTTAGTTGTTCAGGCATCCCAAATACCTGTCCAGCCAGCGTGTGGCTGTCTTCTTGAACATGCATGATGAGGTGCGCACAGACGACATCCTCCGGGACATCTTCAAGAGGGGCACAGCCTGCTTCATTCCCAGATACTTCACTGAGAGCAGTCATATGGACATTTTACGACTCAGAGACATGGAGGATGTGGAACATCCAGCAGCCAGCAGACGACGACTCCGACGGCTCTAGCCACAGGTGAGATAGACAGTAGACAGTATCCTCTGACAAATCGTTCTTTTTTATTTATTTAGATTTTATTACAAGTAAAGTAAATATTAATAAAGTACATGTTAAAGAGGTCATCGGATGCCCAAGTTGATATGATTCTTTAGGGTCTTAAAGGTGTCACATGATGTTGCTAAA